TTTTTATTTTTATTTGTTGGTACAATTAGCAGTTTAAAGTTTTATGTAATGCAATTGCATCATAAAACATTGTTGTTTAGATGCTGAAAGGAATCAGCTTTCGTTGTGGGAATTTGTTTTAGCTTAATGGGTTTTCAGTTTTAACTTTAAGCAATGAACTTTTTAACTTTTACTCACTTTTGCGCAGTGCTTTGCAAACAAATGCTGATGTGCCTGGCCTGGAGTATACTCTGGTTGCTTGTTTGGAGGGTATTTAAGACCAAGTATGGTGCCTCACTCATTCCACAGTACATGGTATGCATTTTAGTCCTTTGGTTAATTGATTGCTTGCTTTATACTTGTAAAAAGCACTTGATTAGCTTCAAATGTATGTACATTGTTTGGATGCCTTGTGGGAATGAGAATCTTTGAACAGGTATTAGCATTTGAAAAACGTTATGATGTTTTGAATGTTGACTTGTATTGTAAGTGATAATTAATTCCTTGATGGTTATGGTTTGGCTTTGAAATGCTTCAAAATTGACACTTTAACACTTTTTAAGATCTTGAATAAGCTAGTCTAAATAGCATTTTTAACAGATCGAACTTTGGAGTACATCTTCATTATGTGCTTATTAATTTATAGTGACATTTAAAGGGACGTCTTTTCTGTGTTTTAGTGTTTTGTTCCAGTTGGCCTCAAGGCAGATTCTCAAACAGTACGTTGTTTATCAAGCAAAACGGTACATGTACAAGTCCTATAAATTATTTTCATTGATTTCTTCTGTAGTCTTTGCACTTACTAAGTTGAATTCTTACCAAAAAAAAGTTACTCTTAGCTATGGTATGAATTTATTTTCAAAAAGAATAAACTATGTAAGTGTTTGCCACAGCTGGTTATTTTCAGATCCCTTTTAAGATGTCTTTTGGGGATAGACGGAACTGGTAGGTTTTAGGATTTACTATATTATATGGCCACAAGAGTCAATGAGCAAAGCATGACGAATGTGCTTAACTACATGTATTTAGACAACATTCATATACCATTGTAAATTAACTCGTTAATTTGTCTGACTGTTGACAACTCTGTCCAGGTTTCATCTTTTCTAGAGAACTTTGACGATAAATTTGTATCTGACATAAAGTTGATTATGTATTTAGACAACAATTCCGAATAGTTTTGGTCTTTATGCTGCGAATTTTAGTGATCCGTAAATGACTTATTTGGAGTTGTTGCGAGTAATCCGCGATTGCTTTCTTTTCCTAATGATCCATAACTTCGGGATTTTTTTTTACTATTTATGGTAATATTTCGATTGTCAATTAGGAAGTCATTTCAAATCCGAATTCGGTCGGATTTTTTGCAGATTGCTTATTTTATTTTGAATTTCAATTTAGAGTGATTTTCGGGATTTTACTATTTTTGGTAAAATTCCGATAAACAAGATTTTTGGCTATAACAGTCCGGCTTGTGGACTGATTTTGGATAGTTTTGATTTTATAATATTTTATTAAACCCTAGAGACTTTTTTCTCTGGTGTTTGGGCGAATTTTTTCTTGTGAATCATCTGTTGGAACTAGCCTACAGGATAATCGTTATTCTGTCTGGCGTCACAATAAACTTCCTAAGTTCAACTAAACAACGATAAAAAAATAGGGGCGGACGCAGAATCTTATGTTGGAGGGACAAACTTCTAAAATTTTAGGAGGGGAAGAACTTATAAAATTTTAGAAGTGAAAAAAGATTACTAATTGAAAATACAAAAAAAAATATACTAATTTTAAATTTTAAGAGGGTCAATTGCCTCCATCCACCCTTGACTGTCCAACAAAAAAACAATAAAGAAAAAGAATACAGAATAACACCAACAATCAAAATCGAACACACTCCTTAAAATCACAAAACATAAACTGTGAAATTCTTTAGCGAACTTGAATGACCAAAATGTTACTATCATACTGGAACTGGACATCTAGGAAGCACGGGGACGGCAAACTTGTGCCGTTTCAAGTACCCGAGATGTCCCCGGTACGGGGATGACACGGGGACGACTGAGGTACGTACCGGGGACGTTCCACAGTGGCGGGGTACGGCTGAACAGCGTCGGGGACGTTTCTCCGAGTTCTGGGGATGTTTCGGGGACGTCATGTGACTTTCACATGCGTCCCCAGGATATTTTCGTCATTTTGCATTAAGAAAACAACGGGAACAACATAACCTAATTGGAGGTTGCAGCTTTCGGCAACAATCCAACTTCTCTATTGGAGCTTTCGACAGCAATTGCTTCTGCTTCTTGAGCTTTTCGGCAGCAACATGTGAGTTTCTTCATTGCATTGAACATCATTTCGTTGTATTTGGAAAAAATGGTTCTCAAAATGGAATATTAATTCATATGCCTGGAGATGCTAATCTTTCTTGTTCTGGTTTTGTTATCCCTTCTCTAATTTTAGCCTGAGTTTGTGGAACATTGCGCTCTTTGGGTTTATGTGGTCGATTTGATTGTGGAGGAACGATTCCATTTTTAATAAGAAAATCTTTGGAGTTGACCAGATTTTTGAGTCGGGTATGGAAAGAATCTCATTTTGGTGTGTTTTTGGCTAAATTATTGCCTCTTTACCCTGGATTTCTATAGGTCTGTTAACGAGATTATTACTTTGAATTAGTTCTTTTTTGTCTGAGTTATTGCTTGGAGAGATTGATGTGCTTTAATTGTTGGGCGTTCTTATTGTTGTGAATTTGTGTTGGTTCAAGTTTGTTATTATTGTTTTATTTTTTCTTGGATTTGCATTAGCTGGCGTTCCTTTGCTTTAGTATTCGATCTATTCTTGGGAGTGGATAGAAAGGCTTTGGCAGGAAGGGATCGTTCATTGTTGCAGTGTGTTTCAGTAGATCTATTTGTTATAAATTCCTATGGATCTCCATTTGAGATTAACCATTATGGTTTTACATAACTGCCCCCTTTATGTTTGATTTGGGTTTAATATTATGATTTGAGTTTTAAGATTTAACACTTTAATATTATGATTTTATTATATATTTCATTATTCCAGAGTTAATATTATGGTTTGAATCTTAAAATTTGACATTTTAATATTGTGGCTTGTTTATGGATTTTATTGTTCTAAACTTATTATTGTTGTTTGACTCTTGATATTTGACTTTATTTATAATTGTTTTATATATATTTATAATTTTAAAAATATTTTATATGCGAACCCTTGTCGTCCCCGTACCCTATAATTTTAAAAATTATCGTTTCCTGTTCCCGTATCTGTATCAGTGCAACATAGCTGGACATTGAAAACCCACCATTATGCATGAACTATAAAAACAAGATTAATCTCAAAAACCCTTTTCAACCTTTTTGATGATGTCTGTCTTTTTCTGTTACAGTTTGTGATACCATTAATTGTTTCATCATCAGTTTCTTCCATTTTCTGTTCCAGGTGCTGTTGTGGAGTCACTACTATCTTCAGTGGATTTTATCATGAAAACATTTTCCTGTTAGTAATAATTATATTTCGCTTATCAAGTCCCTCATAATTGCTGATCAACTTGGGTTTAATTGATTACATGAGGACTGCAATTTGGCGAGTTGCTTAAGGTTCTGCAGAGTGGGGGAGTAAATAAAGCAGGCCACTAATGCTTTTGACTAATATCTTGAAGATCATAACTTGATTCTCTTTGTCTGCCTTGTTTCACCTGTACTAGTTTGAAGAGTTACAAGTGGCATTTATATGTGAAATACCACCATATAAATAAAGGCATTCATTATGAATTTAAATTATATTAGAATGATTCTAACGACTTATTTATTAAGCATCCATTATCAGTGTCACAATAATATATATATATATATAGGTAAAGTACACAAATAATCCCCTAATTATAAGACAATGTTTTGTTGGCATGTCCCCGATTATTATAAGTTATAAAATGGTCCCCTTATTACATGGTATTGATTTGTCGAATCCTTGATTGTTAAAAATTACAAAATGGTCCCCTAATTATATGGTATCGACTTGTTGACTCCACCGACTATTAAAAGTTACAAATTGTCACCCAACAAATCATATGTTTCAAACTCGTCCTTTCCCTTTAAAAAATTGACTTTCGTTTAAGGTGGACGCTAACCTGCTGACTAGAATATAATAAAATTTGATCTCGGAATCTCAAACGACTATACAAATCAAAATGTTCTGGGATCTAATTTTATCACATCTCAATCGACATGTTAACGTGAAGCTCAGACAATCGTTGACTTTTTAACAGAAAAAGATGAGTTTGGAACATCTAAACAATTAAGTTATTATTTTATAAATTTTAATAGTCGAGGGATTTAACAAAGTAACGACCTATAGTAAGAGGATCATTTTGTAATTTTTCATAGTCGGAAAACTCAACAAAATAACTTTTCAAAATCGGGGATCATTCATATACTTTACCTTATATATAAATAATTAAATAGTGATACATTTTTAATTATTAATTAATGTATTAGGTCTTTTAAGTAAGAAAAAGGATTTGAAACCCGACGTTATGAGTAAATGGTTGGGAAACTCACTCTTATGAAGAACTGCTATAATATCATATTCAAACTAATCAACTAAAAAAAACTAAAACCCCTACGATATTTTAAGCTTAATTATTCTAATTAAAATTAAAGGATCATGTTATATGATTGAGATTTTTTTTTAAAATTTACAGTTTTAGGGTAGAAAGTTTTAGTGGTGTGGTTGATGTATTATATAATTGATGAAAATCTAGAGGTGACATGTTATCAGTGGATGCTTAAAATATGTTCTTTAAGATCATACTAGTCCAAATTAAACTACATATGCTATGTTATATTTATATTTCAATCCTTTGTCTACATTTCTGACTTCACATATGGGATATAAAATAAGATAAAAAGAAAGGATAGAGTCGTCATTCGAGTGATACTCCCATGGTTATATAATCGAGACCTGAGCCACGTACGTTATACAACATCAAAAATTATCAAACCCCTTAAGAAAAAATGGAAAATTGGTTAATGTTGCTATTGCTGGCAATAGCATTTACCGGTAAGGCTGTGGTTGTTTCAGCCGCCGCCGCCGCCTATGAATCGCCGCAATTCAGAGTGGTACACTTGGAATCCGATTTTGAAATAAGATTGTACATGGAAATCTCTTGGATGACAGCTCTTGTCCGTGGAACTTCCTTCGAGAACTCCACTAAACGAGGCTTCCACAGGTTGTTATTTCACCCTAAAATTTTATAATTTCGTCAACAACAAAAAAAATCTTGCGAGTCCGTCATTAATTCTCTAACTCCATTGCTTTGCTTTGCTTCAGGTTGTATCAGTATCTCCAAGGTGCAAACCGTAACTCCACTCGTTTCTTCATGACAAAGCCCGTCTTAACCAGCATCATTCCGTCCCAACGCGGTGGGTCGCCGTCGTCTTATATCGTGAGGTATTATCTGCCAGCAGAGTATAACAATAAGTCTCCGCCGCCGCCCTCGGCGGAGTTGAACTTGCAGTTGGACAAGTGGAAGAGCCACTGTATTGCAGTCAGAAAGTTTTCCGGATATGCTAGGGACGACAATGTGGAGAAAGAAAAAGACGCTCTGGGTTCTAGCCTTGGTAAAAGGTTGATGCAAGGAGTGGATCAAAACCAGTATTATAACTACAGCATTGCGCAGTACAATGCTTCGAAGCATCCCACCGGGCGCATAAACGAGGTTTGGATTGATGTATCGGGTTTTGCCGACGAGGGATGTCCGGTATAGCTATGAGAAATTTCGCCATAATTATGTTTGTGAGATAAGTGAATAAAATAATGGCGATAATTGGGAAAATTATAAATTTGTTGTTTCTTGTGGATTTCTAGTAGCTTTTTTGATAAACCAGTTATGTTAAGTGTGCACTTGAGCAATAAGTTAATTTTTTTTCATAAAAAATAAGTTAATGTTATTTTTAATACATTGTACGAGCGAACTTACCTAATTAATTAAAGGGATCCTTGTTATTCTTAGAAGTCATTAGCTTGAACATTATTAACTACAAGAGTGATTGTACATGCATTGTCAAATGACTATTTATGCAACGTAGGCGCCATGGGAGATAATTTTGTTATTATACCGTAATTAAAATTAAAGCTTTATTTAATTAGAACTTTGACCATTTGGATTCATACACGACCTCAATTATTAAAGAAAATATTATTTTTAAGGGGGTTGGATTTGAGTAGTTGTATTTGTAAGATATGTTTTGGTTTTATTTTAATTACTCACCGTTAAAAATTAATAGAAATGTTGACATGATATTTTTCTAATTATGACATGATATTATCTTAGGATAATAAGTCAACATCATTATTAATTTTTTAAGATGACCAAAATGAAACCATAACTAAACATTAAGTTGATTATGAAAAACATATAATTGGTGATCAAAACGAAATAAAAATAATAGTTGGAGTAGTAAACTTGTAGTTTACCCTAATATTTAAATGCGAGTGTAGAAAAAACATTTTATTAATCTTAAAAACCAATTACACAAAATTCATAGACACATCATATGAACCTAAATATTATAATATCTATTATTTATACATTACCACATTGATATCTGAATCTGTTATTTTTATTAGTCAATTTCAAATGATAAAAAATATTTCACTAAATATAAAAACTGGATACTTATATGTTTAAAATCAATACAATATAAAAACCATATTTACGTAAAATCAATAAAAACCATTAATCAATGACTTAGCAATTAGCAACAACCCCAAAATTAAGGATGAAACAAGAAGGCAAGGAAGAGAATCACCCCTGAAATTTTAAAATTATAATATATTTTAAATTTTTTTATATTTTTTATTAAAAATTTATTTTCACTCACCAAGATTTTTATAAGTTTAATTTCACCCCCTAAAATTTTAAAAGTTAAATTTTACCCCCAACATAGAATCATGAGTCCATCCTGCCCAAAACTAAATATACGTAAATTGACCAAAAACATTAATATATGGCATTGCTTAGTTGTAGTAAAGATCTATCTCCTCAAGTTTGATATCAAGTTATCCCATATAAATTTCTTTAACCCTTAATTTTCGACTTCTGGATCGACTATGAGAGAACTTTGAACATAGTGTCTTCTTTAAACTTAACAAAAAGGAATAGAGATAATACAAATATTCAAAGTATTTTGAATTGCATGCGATGGAGAACGTGAAATTCTGAGTGAACATGGCATTGAAGGCGCATACGAAACAAAGCTGATCAACTTAAAACCATAATTAACTAACGATGTGGGATATACATTTGACTCGACACCGCCGGTCGCCTGACCTCAATCGTCGGTAAATAATTGTGCCGACAGGTTATCCATAACCGTGAATTGCATGCTCTCCGATGGTTTCCAGTGCCGCTTTCTTTGATTTATAAACCAGTTGTTTATTTGTTTCTGGTCTAGTCCCGTCGATTCAGCCAATGCTATCTTATCGGCTTCCTGCAGCCAAAATATGAAACATCTTCATATATTAGAAATACCGTATGTACTCGAATAGAGCACGAGGGAGTTTGGGATGAAATTACCGTTGGATATGGCCATTTGTAGTGAACATTCCACCATTCAAGCAGCATTTGTCGAGCCTCTCTTGGTAGTGTCCCTTTCTTCTTCTTCTTGGAGAACTCCAACTTCAAGCTACTTATATGACTGCCAAATCTCCGAAGCAGCCTATCTTTCAGACCCCATTCTTCGCTTCTTGCCTGCCCTTCTACCTCACCCACACCAACATCTTCATCCGATGATACTCCACCTTCATCTGCCAATCACAGGATAACACAAAAAAGTTCAATCGTTTTGCTTCATCAATCAAGATTTAAGAATAAACATTAACAAATCCAAGTGCCAAAACATACGTGTGCGTAAACGTATGGAAAGATTACATTGCCACGATAATATTTTCATTACAAGCCTAGGAATAGGTTTCCATGGCTCGAGGAACACAATCATACAAGCTGAATAAATGAAAGCTCGGAGAGTGCTATATGATCTTGTAGTTCTATTTTATGCTGTAAAATGCATTTTATGCACTTTAAGATTGAAGCAGATATATAATCTATTTAATTGAAAATGAAGCTATAGAAATTTAACCGACCCTTATTCTCATATGTAATGGAATACGGGGAAAGTAAGATAGTAGGCTGCCCCCATATATGAAATGCTCTCCGTGGGACTCGATCACATGACCTCAAGGTTAAGAACCTTGTGCTATACCAACAAAGCTATAACAACTGGCTTATTAAACTATATGGCTGAAAGTTATACAACTTGATGTTAACAAAACTCAAATTGACTCCAAAAAAATCAATTTTTTTTTTCAATTCTACTTGAGACTAAAATAATTCAACACGACTCATGATTTCACAAACTCGAGTAAAAAAAATTTGAAGTAAAATTTAAAGTATAATAAGACTTAAATAACTTAAAACTTTTAATAATTAATAAATTAATTTTTAAGCTCGAGCTAACTACCTCACCTATGCATAATAGTATATCATATATAAAAAATATAAATCACATATAGTTATAGAAAACAATTTAAACTAAAATCAATTAATACAATGACATTATATATATATTTACAATTTAAATTCAAACAAATCAACTCAACTTAATTTTCTTTTTTTTATTAATACTCTTCTTTTAAATAAAATTAAAGTTATATCACTCTAACTCAACGAAGTTTTTTATCTCAACTTGATGAAACACTCACCCCTACCGCTTACCGACGATTTTCTCCAAAAATCACCTTTTCGTTATATATTTACCTGTCAGACACGCTTTCATATATATTTCTCGATCTAAAACCCTTTGTAGAAAGGTGCGACCCATGCATCACGCCTTACGCTGATGTGGTGCCACGTGGGGTAAGGCACGGTGCATGGGTCGCGCCTTACTATCGTCTGACACACGCGATAGATAGGCGCGGTGCAAGGGTCGCGCCTTGTATAAATTATATCCGTATTTCTCGGCTTTTAAACTTTTCTCTCGACAATAAATATGCTCTCAACCCATAAACATTCACAACAATCCTCTCAACCCGAAAAATCATACAACAAACCTTTTAACCCGTAAATATCACACGACAATCCTTTTATCTTTTATTCAAAAGTTCGTTCAATCTTTCGTTGTAAGGTAATTTTTTTAATATATAATATTATTTATAATTATATATGATTATTTAAAAAAAATATTGTACTAATTATTTTCAATTAATTTTTTGTAGTTGTAAAATTAAAAAGCGAGAACATACGTCAAAATATTTTTGTCGATACGGTAATAATATAAAATTATATTATTTAAATTATTTACGTTTATGTGTAAAAAATTTATTGTGTTATATTCTAATTCATATATTATTTATTTAATAAGCTTGTTTCAGAGGGTTTATTTTCAGATATAAGATTATCTCCCCTTCAAACTCTAAAAATGACGCTAATTTCAACTATTTTTTATTATGATGGATAAATTCAAAAAGATTAAACTGGCGTTTTCGTATCAAATCATTATGTTAAAATATCCTTCAAGAGAAACATAACTCTTGAGGAGCTGATAACGAAGATTTCAAAGAATGTTCATGTTGGAAGTACTAGAAGAATGTCGTCGCTTCAGTACAGATTTCCAAAATCATTGTTTCTGTAAACTTATACAACGTTCGAACTATCGAACAATGATGATATTGAAATAATTGTTGATTCTCAAAATCATTATTCAGACATCGATATGGAGATATATGCAAAGTTTGTTGAAGTGTGTATTGTTCGAGGTCTGTCATTAAGCTCCCACTATGGGCTGGTTGAACAAGCTGACAGCCCAACTACAGTAATGTGTAATGATTTTAATGTCATAATAGGAAATTGCACCATAGTGTCATCTCATCAACTTTAATGGGGAGGCATTCATCATTAACTCCTTACGATCTGTACCGAGATAGGTCCACAAACAATATGTATGACAACATCGCGTCCAGTTCAAGGGGAAGTCATTCATCTACCAATTTCTTTAACCTAAATATGGAGATGCCCTCGACGCAACAATCTGTGCATTTTTCATTTGACAAGATGGCTTCAAGTTCCGGGAAGAGGCATTCTACTGCGAGCTTTTTCGATCTCAATGTCGAGATGCCTTCTAGTTCAAAGGGAATGTATGCAAGTAGTAAGTTCTTCGACTTAAATATGGAGAGCATGGAGGAACACTCATCTCCACCAGAAGAACCGCTTCGTGAGCCAAGTGCGGATGATGTTGAGACTATACAATTCATTCACCCAGAATCACCGCAGTTCAACTCCGATGATGATGATGTAGATGAAGTTCCCACAAATATGACACAAACTGAATATCCAACATAAATGTATAAAGCTGATTATAGTGCAATGCACGGGCCAGAATTTACGGATATGCCTAATCTCGGTGACTATGATTTAACTCATCATTAATTAATTGTGAGTTATATTTAGGTATAGAGTTTTCAAGCAAAGAAGAAACGATGATGACTATAAAATTTACAATATATGTAATTCTGTTCAGTCCAGAGTCGACCGCTCTACACCAGAAAAGTATGTTTGCCACTGTGTCTGACGTGAAAATGGATGAAAATAGATGGTTCGCGTATCGAAGAGGAATAGGAAAAACAATATATGAGAACTAATGGTATACAACGGTCATCACACATTTTGTACTGGAGGATCAATCAATATCATCTCAACTTGGACTCTGAAGTGATGTGTCAAGTCATCATGTCCATAGTAAAAACAAGCTCCCATATAGCTATTGTTGTGTTAATTTCAACTATATAATCGCAGTACGGGTATTCCGTCTCATACAAAAAAAACATGGAATGCAAGACAGAATGCGATTAAAAAATTTCACGGCGAATGAGATGCATCTTACAACAAACTTCCAAGTTAGTTTAAGATGGTGCGGAGGTTGAATCCTAGGACAATTGTGGATTTCAAAACTTGCAATACATACCATAATGATCGAGTTCTTCGCGATCGATGCAAATTCTACCAAGTTTTTGGACTTCCCCACACCGTATTAATGCTGTGAAATACTGCAAGCCTGTAGTCCAGATTGACTAGACTTTCTTGTATGAAAAATACAATACAAGCAAATTTTATTATTGACAATTGTCCAATATGGTAATCAAAATATTCTTCCAATTGCTTTTGCCCTTGTTAAATGAGAAGATACAGATTCTTGGGTTTTTTTCCTCCGAAAATTACGTTTACATATTATCACGAGGGAAAAAATCTGTCATTTCAGATCGCGAAGTTGGGATAAAAGCAATAATGGAATCTTTGGGTTCAATATGGCAACCATTCTTTGTCCAACATATGTAATGTATCCGACGCAGTGCTGTGAACTACCATGGAATGTTCAAGAAGAATTATGAACGCCAATTACTTGTGCGCATGAGTGCATCAAATGTATGTAACAAGTTTTTTTAGAACACATGAATTGTTTCGTGTCACAAAGATGCCGCGACCTTTTCAAGGGATTAAAGTTAACTTGTTAAGTGTAAATTTACGGGACAGATAGTGCGCCTGTGGGTTTTTTCAAGCTCTGAAGTATCCATGCTCTTATGTGATAACAGCTTGCTCGCATACTCGTCAAGACTATAACTGTTTTGTGAATCTCGTATACCTACTATCAGAAGTGTTTAAGATATACGAATTTGAGTTCTCCCCATAGGTAATGACAAAGACACTAATGAGGTTCAAAATTGGGTTCCGATTGTACCAAATTTCGACTTTATTGAGGGACTGTGGTAGGCCAAAATCGACTCGAATTCATTGTGATATGGATATTCGAGAAACATCTAGACAAGACAGAAGATGTTGCATTTTATAAACCCAAGACAAACTAGAAAATCATGTCACTTCTTTTTTCATCAAGTAACCATTGATGAGGATTTGATGTAGTTGTTTATCAAATAATAGTTCTTGTAATTTAATTTACATTTACTTAAAATTAATGTCATTTTATAACCATTGATACCCTCTGATACGCACGTTGAGAACATCAGCTATTTCCCAAAATACCCTAACAAGAAGCATAATCAATGGGTATTTAGGCATGGAACAAAAGTAAGCGGACCCATTAATTAAAATGAAGTAAAATAACGTGATTGATCCGCGCAAAGTGAAAATAGGTGGACATGAAGAAGATAAAAGAAAAATATTCAGCTTAGAGATGTTTATCGGATTTCAAACTCCACTCTTCGCCGAAATTTGGGATTCCATTTCTAGTCCGATCCTTAGATAAATGTGAATTAAATTATAAGAACTATTATTTGATAAACAACTACATCAGTTCCTCATCAATGATTACTCGATGACAAAAGAAGTGTACATGTTTTTCTAGTGTGTCATTGATTTCTACAATGTCCACATCTTTTATTTTGCCTAGATGTTTCTCGAATATTTATATCACAATAAATTCCAGTGAATTTTAACCGACCACATTCCCTCAATAAAGTCGGATATAGTACAATCGAAACCTAATTTTGAACCTCATTAGGGTTTTTATCATTAACTATGAGAGAAACTCAAATTCGTATACCTTAAACACTTCTGATAATATGTATACGGGATCCATAAAACGATTATAATCGTTACGGATATGCGAACAAGTTACTATCAAATGGGAGTATAGATACTTCAGAGCTTGAAAAAACTCACAATCGTATCATCTGTCTCGTAGATTTACTCTTAACGAGTTAACTTCAATCCCTTGATGAGATCGCGATATCTCTGT